TTTAACGGCAGTGGCATGGAAATAGCAATTTTTTAACGGATGGCATGGATAAACCATTTCTGAAAGTTCAGTGGCATTTTTAGGCATTTTTCGTTTACTTATTAATTTGTTCCAAAAATAATGATAATGGAAAGCTTTTATAGGTATATAAATTTTATGACATATTTAAGGTCACAAGTTTCAAAAGTTTTATATCCACACACATATTATGAAATATTTAATACCCTAATTTTCACAAGTTTTCGTTTCTTTATTAAATTTTATATCAGGTCATACTACAATAAACAAAATGAAACGAGCGTAACAGTTTTGGGGTGTTCAAACCAGATCGATTGATCGAATTAAATCGAACAACCAAACCAAAACGACTAAAAAGTCGAATAATTTGGTTTGGTACTGATTAAGAAACAACGAAATCAAATTAATTGGCACTGATCAAGGAACTCCAGAATAAATTATGTCTCGAAATATTTGTTCCTCTCATAAGATGTAATATTTTAAATTTTAGATAACTATTATAGTGCATCCATATATATCTTTAAATAATGTTTATTTTGATCGTACATGATCATTAGTGCTTCAATCTCCTTAATCTTTCATATTCAAAAGTCAAGATCTATTAAACACTTATATTTTTTTAATTTTGAGAGTGAGTTATATTAGTTTTTTTTTTGCAGGAGGATGCATCCAAAACTAAATGAAAAAACAAAACCAATTGTTAGACCAGCACTTCAAAAGGTTGTATCAAAACCATTTTTCAAAACTACACATGATTTATGTATTTAAGAACGGAATCAAACGGTTGTGTATCATAATATAATTCTTTTATGTAGAATAACGATATAATTGAACTTGAGGAAGTTAAATTTCTTGCAGATTTCAAACACATATATCTTCCATCCAAGTCATCACTGACTTTTATTTCTTTCTTCCCCTTCCTGTTAGAATGTTTAGATTTGGGACATCGAACAAGGTGATAATTTTAAGAGCTCAATTTTCCATGTCCTCCTTGAATTCATTAATAGGAATAGTTATTGATAAGGATTTTTTCGGTTGTAAAACTTAGGCCTCATTTATATTTTTTTAAGATTAAGACATCTGAATCTAAATACACATCTGAATATCAAGATGTGTATTAAGATTAAGACATCTGAATCTGATACACATATGAATATATTAAGATGTGTATTAAGATCTGAATAGAAATAATTAAGACTGTTTGATTTTTAACATCTGAATGTATAAAATTTATCTTTATTGAAAATTAATAAACATAAAATTCATATGAAATACTAACTAATCTAATATTCTATCAATAAAATATATAGTTTTTAAAATATGATAGTTGTTGGTGGTGATGGCTAACGGGTGAATACCGACTAGAGGCGGTGGTTGG